TGGGACTGTCCTCACACTCAGCTGTTCTGGGACTGTCCTCACACTCATCTGTCCTGGAACTGTCCTCACACTCAGCTGTTCTGGAACTGTCCTCACACTCAGCTGTTTTGGAAAGACATTTTCTTGTTTGTGAATAGAAAGTTAGAAACTGACCAACCGTTTGACGCTAAAACTTTACTGTTTGGGTTTTTGTTTGTTTGAATATTCCAAGTAAGAAAGTTTTTGTTGCAAATTTAATATTAATATTAGCCAAATTTCACATCCACAGCTGTAAATTTGTCATGCTAAAACCTAGATTTATAGTTTTTTCTACTTATCTTTCTTCGTATTTGTCTACTTTAAAGTATTGTACCAATGCAAAAGCCATAATAACTAAAACACTAACGAATTTCTATTGTAAACTGCCCAAAACATGTTGTTATTTACTTATATTTTTCTTTTTGTTACGCCTGCCTTAAGTCTCGAGCCATGTGTGCCATTGCAGTTTTTTTTTTTTTTTTATATTTGTTTTGTATAAATAAATTATACAAAAATAAAAAAAAGGTTTTTCAAAAGAATGAGAGTCGAGAACGTCCGGAGCAAACAACCGTGAGGTTAAACCTGAAGATTCAATAAACATTTTACTGTAAACAAAAACATTCTGAACAACAACAACAAACACGAGCCCACCTTTCTTCTTCTTCTTCTTCTTCTTGAGTTCTGCTTGGCTGCAAAAAAAAACAGAACATGAGACTCAACAACTCTGCTCTTTGTTTACAAGAAACAGCAGTAAACAACAAGTGTAAACAACAGTAAACAACAAGTGTAAACTAATACTGTAAACAGCCACAAACAAGTGTAAACAACAGTACACAGCTGTAAACAACAGTAAATAAGTGTAAACTGTAAACAGCCACAAACAAGTGTAAACAACAGTAAACAGCTGTAAACAAGAAGTGTAAACAACTAAACTGTAAAGAGCCACAAACAACAAGTGGAAACAATTAACAGCTGTAAACAGTAGGTGTAAACAAGTTTAAACCGTCAAAAACAACAAGTGTAAACAGCTGCCATGACAGTCAGTAAACAAGTGTAAACAACTAAATTGTAAACAGCCACAAACAACAAGTGGAAACAACAGTAAACAACAGGTGTAAACAGCAGGAGTAAACACCTGTAAGCAACAGGTGGAAACAAGTTTAAACAGTCAGTAAACAAGTGGTAACAGCTGCCATGACAGTCAGTAAACAACAAGTGTAAACAGCTGCCATGACAGTCAGTAAACAACAAGTGTAAACAGCTGCCATGACAGTCAGTAAACAACAACTTACCCCGGCTCCTTGGGAAGACTTTCTCCGACGACCTTTCCGGCTTTTTTGCGGACGTACGTGGCTCCGTGGGAGTTCTCCAACTCGTCCACGTCCACCTTGAAGGACATGGTGTCGGCAGACGGGAGGTGCTTACTGAGGCTGCAGGTGACCGTTAAGGACAAAACAAACGCACCCACGACTTGAAGAAAACATGGAGGTCAAATTATTTTGACGCGATTGATCCCACGTCCACAACGCTTCGTAGGAGCGACCAAGAGGCCTCCGTATTTATTTATTCTTTCATCCAGTCGTTTAATTTTCAGGGTTTTTTTTAAATATAGTTTTAAAGTTTTCATCTAAATAAAAACTAAACTCACAGAAAGTTTCAGATTTATGACAAAAAGAAGCTTAAATCCGTTAAATATTATAACTTTAGCACAATGAGTCAAAAATGATCCGAATACAGGATTTCAAGCTTCTGTTGTTGTTGTTGTTTTTCAGTGAAAGGATACGATTTGGCTTTATCCGTGTCCACCAGAGAATACGCTGAGATGAGCTGTGCCAGCGTGTGGACGTCTTTTGTGTTTTGTCTGTTGGGAAAAGTAAAAACCAAAAATCAGAAGTTTAAAGCCGAGTTTAGTGAATAAATAAAATAAAAACACTCCGGAGTCTTTCGTTGTGTCCACACTCGTTGGACAGGACGGAGACTCACTTCCACAGCTGCTCCAGGTCGCTGATGGCTTCTTTTTTGCGGCCGTGCTTCAGTTTGAAGTTCGCCGCTTCTCGAACCAGAGCCAGGTGCGCGGCGGAGCCGGGCTGCGAGACACAACAACAACAACGATCAACAACCGACCAAGACCCGAACGACGGGACAGATTTAATGTTCGTCTCCGCCAAAACTTCAGTAACTCGTACCATCTCACACACCTGAAGAAACAGATTTCCCACAATAAACGAGATGTTTAGAGTTTTCTCTGCCTGAATTCAAACAAATTAATTTAAATTCCTGTTTTATCCTTTTAGCTCCTTAAGGCTCTTTAGTTGAAACTGTGGAAGGAGCTGCCTCTGCACGTCAGACAAGCTAACTCACTTCCTGTTTTTAAATCTGCTCTGAAGACACAGTTTCTCTCGTTGGCCTTTATCTAAGCTTGAAATGTTGGTTTTACTGTTTTTAAGTTATTTGTTTTAACCGTTTGCCGTTTTATGATTTGGTAGTTCATTACTTTTATGGCATCTGTTGATTTTATAGTTTTTTTATGTTTGTATGTGTTAGTGTACAGCACGTTGGCCAACAGTGTTGTTTTAAAGTGCTTTATAAATAAAGTTGTATTGTATTGTATTATTATTGAAAGAAAACCACAATTCAAAAAAAAAAAAAAAAAAAAAGGCATTTTCTCTCTTTTCGGACGAACAAATAAACAAGATTATTTGAATATAGTTTTTGATCATTCCAGTCAGGAGTTTTGGGAGGTTTGGAAGAGGTGGAGCCAGGGGGTGGCCAATGGTGGCCTTGGCCCCATATATTAATCTTTGACCACCCCACCAGACACCCAAATCATTTAAGGAAACTACTTTTGAGCAATATGAAAAAGAGAAAGTATAATTTTCTCAAATGATCAGGGAGGTCAGTTTCATACATTTATGGCGGCAGCCATCTTGGATTTTGAAGTGGCAACCCAGTCTTCCAAAGGAAACTTTTTATGCCAAGAAGCAGCGACGCACCAAATTGGAAGTTAGTATCTCATTAAGTTATGGCGCTCACAACATGCACAGATAGACAGAGGGTATGTCCAGTTCCACCTTATCACTCTATGGCGGGGGACATTAAAATGCATTTATAATGGATTTCAACAGGGTCAGATTCTCTCCTGAGGAACACTAGAGGGCTGTCATGTTACCGTGAGGTTACCAGAGCACTTAAAGTTTAACAATTTTCCAAAGATTTAAAAGAAATATATATTTCAGGAACGGTCATATTTACTGACGTCAATAAAAACTAAATAAAAACAAAAACTGGGCTGATTTTTCCCCCACTTGAACAACTGAGGGTTGTTAGTAATCCGATGATGTGGATTCCTCCTCAGGTAAAAACAGAGACCCACCCAGTGAGACCAGCAGACGAGAGTTTCTCACCTGCTCGGTCTGATAATGCTCAATAGCTTGTTTGAAAACGTCGATGGCTCCGTCGATATCTTCCTCGTGAGAGTACATCGTCACCAGAGCTGAGATCTGGAGGAGTTGAAACGGATTAAAACGTGGCATTAAAAAAATAAAAAATCATATTTAATGTTTTTACCATTCCTGCTTTGTGCTTGAACTCTTCGATCGACCTCAGGACGTCGCAGGCTTTGGTAACGTGACCTGCAGGACAACAAACGTCCAAAATTACCCTCAGATGATGTAAAGAAGCCCGTCTGGATGAGCGAGCGGGTCGGTACCTTGGATTAAATACAGCTGTGCCATCGTTAGTTTGATGCCAGACGCGCTCTCCGGGTTCCGGTCCGAGAATTGCTGCAAATAAACCAGAAGACAGGAGGTTCCTTCACACGACCAACACACAGACTTCCTGTTTTTGGAGGAGCGCGGCGTTCACCTGGAGGAGCTCGACGGCCCGGCCGTGCTGCTTCTCTCGGCACAGCTGAGCCGCCTGGATGAGGACCGGCCGCGGGTGACCCGGGTTCTGAGCCTGAAGTCCAGAGGACAGCTTCCTGCACTGCTCGGCCTGCGCAGAGCGCACACGTCAGATCGGACCGCGGGGCGTGAACCCGTGCGAGAGCAGCCGGTTCTCCCTCACCTGGTTGGTGTACATGGCCAGCAGAGCTTTGTTGAACTCGATGGCCTGCAGCTGCTTCTTCGCCAGCTTGTGCTCCACGCCCTCCGCGTTCGTCAGCTTCACCTTTTTCTTCGAGTCGAACACGTTTTGGTCCTGAGCGAGCAGACGGAGTCACCAGCTGAACACAAAAGACGATCGCGGTCGAGTCAGACTTTTTTTTTTACCCACCTTGTTGATGGTGATGATGTTGTTGGCCGTGACGGCGAGCAGCCCCACGTCGGACGGCCTGGAATCAGATCGGACCCGTTTAACCTCCTCACAGTTTGAAGTTAAATTCATTCAGACGGTCTGAACTCACTTCAGCTTGATGACCTGGTTGTAGAGCTGCAGAGCTTCGTCCGTTCGGCCCTGAAGCTGCAGGACGTACGCCATCTGAGAGTGAATGACGGCCAGCTCCGACGCGACGTCCTCCTCCGTCACGTCCTGAGATGAAACGACGACAGTGACCACCGGAGGGGAAGAACAAATAAGCTTTACAGAAATAAACTCAACAAAACTGCTTTTGAGCAAACGGATAAATGAAGACCAGCGGAAGAAGTCAGGATCCTCAAGGAACAGTAAAGTTGGGGACACAAACGTCGGATGATTAAAGCTGCTTCAACAACAAAAAACATTCATAAATGTTACCTGTGTTAGCAAAATAAGAGAAAATACTGTTTTTGAATCTACCTTT